TACTATGCTGTTGAACATTTAGTTATCTCTTAACTTGTCTGTTTCAGAGACAATGTATTGACTTCCTATTTTTGTAGGTCAGTTCAAGCTCTGTTATTTTCCTCCTACCCCTCCTGCCACTCTCCCAGTATATTTGCATCAAATTATTAAATCACTATTCAATGTTTCATCATGATGTTTATGTACATATGCATACTAGGCAAGTATTCAATTTTGTGGAATTTTTTATTTTTTCTGAAATTAATAATTACCTATTTCACTCTTATTTTCTTTGAGCTAATAGCTAAGGCTTCTCACACTCTTCAATAGCTTTGTAAAATTTCTCTCGATGCAGTTTTTCAAGCAGTTGAACTTGCCATATTATCTATCAGTTTCACATTTTCCTGCATCTTTTCTTCATGGAGACCTCCATAAACTGATGTAGTGTGGACTAGTTGCTGCCCCACAGTTGTCATGGGCCTTTCCTGTACTGCCATCTAGGGAATTAATTCTTCTTACTTGCCTTAGATTCACTATTTACTGGATACTACTACTTTCTTTTTCTTGGTTTATTCTCTTGGAGCTTAAATTCTAATAATTTTGGGGGGAAAGATGCATGGATTTTTTTTCTTTAGTTTACTTTGTCTGAAAATATCTTCAGTCATCATCATCATCATCATGCTTAAATGATCATTTGGTTAGATATAACATTCTAGATTGAAAATTATTTTCACTCACAATTTTGAAGGCATTCTTTCATTGTCTTTAGTTTCCAGTATTGCTGTTCAGAAGCCATTTTAAGATTTTTATTCCTAATAGTATGAAGTTGCCACAAATTTATGCCTTGAGTAGATCTTTTCTTCATTCATTACACCAAATCTCTGAAACTCTGTTCTGAGAATTTTCAGTTATTATTACTTGATTAATAATTTCCCACTCTTTTCTTTGATATTTTTTTTTTCAGCTCCTAAATCTGTTAGGGTGTCACTAGATTGAATCTGTTTCTTTTTTTCTCTCATTGTCTATCTTTTTTTTTTTTTTTTTTTTTTTTGAGGCGGAGTTTCACTCTTGTTACCCAGGCTGGAGTGCAATGGCGTGATCTCGGCTCACCGCAACCTCTGCCTCCTGGGTTCAGGCAATTCTCCTGCCTCAGCCTCCTGAGTAGCTGGGATTACAGGCATGCGCCACCATGCCCAGCTAATGTTTTGTATTTTTAGTAGAGACGGGGTTTCACCATGTTGACCAGGATGGTCTTGATCTCTTGACCTTGTGATCCACCCGCCTCGGCCTCCCAAAGTGCTGGGATTACAGGCTTGAGCCATCGCACCCAGCCTCAATTTTATCTTTTAACCTTTTTACTGAATTTTTTATTTTGGCCATCAGATTTTTCATACCTAAGCTCTTTCTTCTGTTTCTTTTCATGGTATTTTTATTCATATATCTCTGAAGATACTAACAACTTTGCATCTTCATCTGTCAATGTCTGTGTTTCCCCAGAGTTGTTTATTCTGTTCATTTGGTATAGTTTTTCTCTTTATTGTGAGAAATTTTCTCCATGTTTGTCAATCTTCAGCTCTCTATCCAAAATAAGAGTAAGCTGTTAAGCTGACTGAAAGCTCTGTGACTGTGGGTGATACCGACTGACTTGTGGCCTTCACTGTGGAGCAGTTAGTATCTTTGTGTCTTTGCTGGAACTGTTAATTTTTTCCCAGAGAAAACTCCCTAGTTTCCTGACTAAAGGTATGGGTGTAAAACCATCTGTAAGCATTTTGGAGCTAAATGAGAGAAGAGATAATTCCCCATTTTTAGTTCCATGCCTCACTCTGTCCTTCTCTATGCCCAATGTCCCTGAGTCCAGAATTTCTCTGGCTTAAATTGTTCAGTCTTTTGTTGAGGGGGAGAGGGTATAGTTGGCCTGATTGCATTGAAGGGATATCATTCAGTAATGATCTTCCATTCATCTTTCATCCCTTCCTCTGTTACCTCCTGTTACTGAGTCTTTAGAGTTCCACAGAGAAAAATCTGCTTGTGTCTAGTCTCTGAACACTTTCAAGTTTGGACTTCTTTCCCTCTGTTAAGCCTTGCTGCCATCTGCCTCCTGTTTTCACATATGATGTCTCCCCATTCCAGGGAACATGGAGTTTTTGTATCTGTTTCTTGTTGGATTGGAGTGGTTTTAAGATATAAAGGGAGAAGACATGTCTTTATGCTGCTGTCTTAAAATCAAATCTAGTAGTAGCTCTTAATGAGCACATATTCTGGGTGACTCTGAAAGAACAACTCTGTTAGAACAATTTTTGTCATGTGGGGTTTCTCAGCCACTGAAACACCACTGTAGACTTAACGATATTAATATATACTTGAGTGGACATCAGCCTAAAATTTGCCTTCTTGGGTTTATAGTTATATTAGAGTTCAAATCTGGGTATGGGATGACCTTGAGGCTACAGAAATTCCCTGATTTGGGAGTTTGAGGAGGCTAATGATACTCTTTTTCCCTGCCTAAGTTTGAAACCAATTAAAAGGAGTCAGACAGATAAAGATCATCAAATATCAGTTTTATTACTAAGTAATGTTAGGTGGATGTGATTTGGGTATATAGCAGTGAGGTTCCTAATTCAATACTATACTCTTCCATCATGAGGCCACTTCCCCAATTCCAACCACAGCTCCTATGGGGATTCCTGGGACTGCTAGTGGGCAGTTTCAAATTTGCCCCCCACTAAAAGCTCTGAAATAAGTTAGAATAACACATTGATTCAATCAACTTCTAGATAGCACTGAACCCATAGCTGAAAAATCATTCCCTATTCTGTTTCCCATCCCAAAGTATTTCTAGCCATTTCAGCCAACATAGGTCACCAGGCATTCTGCAGTGAGTTTATATAAATAATATTAACATGCTTCAATAATGTCAGCTATAAAGATTTGCTCCAAAATTGAGTGTATGTCCTCTCCCCTTTATAAAATTCCTGAAGGAAAACTAAAGTCATAATAGTAAATCCTTAAGTTTAAATCAAAAGAAAGTTTATTACTTGTTCATAGGTAATAAGTTCCTATCCATTTTCTTTCTCTGATTAGTCTCAGCCAGTCTTCAATGGCTAGCTGGAGTTAGGAGTCCCTTGGCAGCTCCAGCCTAGGCTGGCCATCCTTGTAATGTATGTGGTTCTTTCAGTGCTTCAGAAGTTACATTAATTCTATGCCAAGTTCCTCATGAGCCTCACTATGTTAAAAAAAAAAAAAAAAAAAAAAAAAACCTAAAGAATTAATTTGAATGTAAGATTAGCATAGGACTGACTCAATACCTACTTAAAAACAAACTTTGGTAAGCTAAGGAAGAAGGAACACTTGAGGCCAGGAATTTGAGATCAGCCTGGGCAACAAGCAAGATTAACATGGAAATTCTCCTGGGACTGTAAACAACTATTTTGTTAAACTTGAAGATTTTCTTCATTCACCTTTCTTCTTTCTGATGCACATATTATGCATCAGAGTGCACAGTTTCAAATATGCCGTCCTCCTAAAGGCTCTGAAGTCAGTTCAAATAGCACATTGATTAAATCAACTTATTGACAACTACTTCTACAAAAAAATATATAGTAATAAAAATTAGTAAGGCCGGGTGCAGTGGCTCACACCTGTAATCCTAGCACTTTGGGAGGCTGAGGCGGGCAGCTGACTTGAGGTCAGGAGTTTAAGAGCAGCCTGGTCAACATGGTGAAACCCCATCTATACTAAAAATGCAAAAAAAATTAGCCGGGCATGGTGGTGGGTGCCTGTAGTCCCAGCTACTCAAGAGGCTGAGACGAGAATCTCTTGAGTCTGAAAGGCAGAGGTTGCAGTTAGCTGAGATTGTGCCACTGTACTTGAGCCTGGATGACAGAGTGATACTCTGTCTCAACAACAACAACAAAAAATTAGCTCTACCTTTATCTCATATTGGTTCTCTGTAGTTCTCTTTCAGTGAGACACAAGAAAATGAATATCTTAGCACAGTCAGATAGCAGAACTATTAACAGTTAAACCTACCTAAACACTGACTCTAGCTTGTGTTGTGGTGCACTCGGAGCTATAATCTTAGCTACTCAGGAGGCTGAGGCAAGAGGATCACTTGAGTTCAGGAGGTCAAGGCTGCGGTGAGCTATGATTGTACCACTCCACTTCAGCCTGGGTGACACAGCAAGACCCTGTCTCTAAAAACAAATAAACAAATGACAGTCCCTAGAAGGGTTTTTCTAGGCAAAATTATATTCCCAGAGCTAAGTACTTAACTGTTGCTGAAAACCACAGCAAATGCATAATATGTTCATCAGAGTGAAGGAAGGTGAATGAAGACAATCTTCAAGTTTAACAAAATATTTACTGTCCAAAAATTGTAATCAAAAGTTTGTTTCTTGAGCTGAGTCAAAACAAAGGGGATTCATTTTAGATAAACATGATTCCAGACATCATCAGGCTGCAGCCATATCTACCAAAGCTACATGTGTTAGATCAGATACTTGAGTCAGTCTGACAAGATCCCTTCTCCCAGGGACATCTGTTTTATTTGACATGAATTGGTGGGTGGGTGGAAGGATCCTTTCAACCCTGAGAGTCTGTGAGTGACCTTTCTTTCTGCCATTTAAGAAGGGATAAAATTTGCTACTACTATTTCCACCTGTGCATATATAGTATTTTCAGAGCCTGGAGCCTTCTGATAGAGTAGAGCTGCTAAACACGTAACAGCAGCAGTTTTGCCATGTGGCCTCTCTGATATCAGGCAGCTCCCCAGCTGGTAAAAGCTAGAGTCAGTGTTTTAGGTAGGTGTAACTGTTCATAGTTCTGCTATCTGACTGTTGCTAAGATATTCATTGCCTTGTGTCTCACTGAAAGAGAACTACATAGGACCAATATTAGATAAAGGTATATCTTGCTTAGAACAATTCATTTCTCTCTTCAGGGAAAGTAATAATAACAGCCAAGTTAGAGCACTATATGAATGAGTACCAAGAGCCGACCTGTCATTGACTTTCTTCCTGCAGGATTCTCAACAAGTTACAGAAGTATCTTTGACAACTCTTGTGAACTTTGTGGACATTACCCAGAAGCCAGAACCTCCAAGGGGCCAACCCAAAATGGACTGGAAATTGCCATTCGACTTCTTTCCCTTCAAAGTGGCATTCAGCAGAGGAGTATTCTCTCAAAAATGCTCAATCTCTCCCATGCTTATCCTGTGCCTCTTACTACTTAGAGTTCTCAACCTAGAGACAAAGTGAAGGAAAGAAAATAATCAGATTTCAATTTTCCCTATGGGAAACTCTGAGGTAGCCACTTACCTTGGCTAAATAGATCCTCGCCTGCTCATGACAAGAGGAGAGCATTTAGGATAATAAAGGATCTAACTGAAAGAATCCTTGTATATGAAAGGAGTTATTTTAGAAAAGCAATAAAAATATTGTATTCATCATAACTCTCTGCTTTGGGCTCTGCAGGCCACCATTTACAAATTAGGTCCTCTACTTCTCAAGCTGGGAAGGCCAGGAGCCTTCCTCCAGCATTTCTGGTTGTGTTATACCTAGCTTAATGTTTACAAGGTCTGGATCCACCTGCCCTCAGGCACAGTTGGGCCCAGCAGAAAGAGAGAAACACTTCTGTTGTAACCTTGAATGAACTCAGGAGTAGCTTCTCTCTGGATTTGAGAGGAGCTAACTGTTTGGAACAGAAAACTGCTGGCTGTTTATTTTGTCTGGTTCCTTTGCCAATGTCTGGGCATACCCTTTGCCCAGACTCGAGTGGGCAAAGCAGTTCTTTCTACTCAGTTTCCAAAGTAAATGAGGAAATCCCAGCTTTCTTTTCTACTGGCAAATGACCCTACCATTTATTTCTGCCTTTTTCTTCCATTCGTTGTGGTAAAGAAATTAAATAAGACTGGTTGAGAGCTTTGTCGTACTAATTCCAACAGCATGGTAGAAGGCAGCTGACCTGTAGTCTGCCTCCTGATTATGCTCGTGTGTGTGTGAGGTTTGAGGGAAAAAAAAAAGGCTGGGTAGAGTGCCTCATTCCTGTAATCCCAGCACTTTGGGAGGCTGAGGCAAGAGGATTACTTGACAGGCGTTCAAGACCAGCCTGAGCAACATAGCAAGACCCCATCTCTGCAAAAAATGAAAGCTTAGCCAGCCATAGTGGCACACACTTGTGGTCCCAGCTACTCAGGAGGCTGAGGTGGGAGGATCACTTGAGCCCAGGGAGTCAAGGCTGCAAGAAGCCATGATCATGCCACTGTACTCTAGCCTGGGCAACAGAGCAAAACCATCTCAAAAAAAGGTGGGGGAGGTGCAGGGAGGGAGAAAACTTTCATAAATGCACAATACCATTTAAGTGAGAGAGGACTTGGGTTCTTTGCCTTGGAGATATGCTCTGAAGACCCCAGTTTTGTGGCACTGACATTAGTGAGTTGAGCATAAAATCTTTTTTTTTTTTTTTTTTTTTTTTTTTTTTTTTGAGACAGAGTCTCACTCTGTCACCCAGGCTGGAGTGCAGTGGTGTGATCTCGGCTCACTGTAACCTCCACCTCCGGGGTTCACGCAATTCTCCTGCCTCAGCCTCCTGAGTAGCTGAGACTACAGGCATGTACCACCATACCAGGCTAATCTTTTGTATTTTAGTAGAGACAGGGTTTCACCGTGTTAGGATGGTCTCGATCTCCTGACCTTGTGTTCCACCTGCCTCGGCCTCCCAAAATGCTGGGATTACAGGCATGAGCCACCCTGAAAATATATATTTTTAAAAGTATTCAGTTATTAGATTCTTAAGACATTTAGAACACCAATTTGTGTGGATAAATTCCACTCGTCAGGGCAAACACAGATTGCCGGTAGCCCTGGAGCTAAGGAGTAGCTTTGATTTTTGGTAAAATTTGTGAGTCCACAGTTCAATTTTCCGCTTCTCTGTAATCTCATTTTCTTTTCTGTGTCGAAGATCTCACCTTCCTGGTGTCTGGGCTTCCCTAGCTGCTTCTTGAAGTAAGCATCAGTAAGATGTTTCGGGATTTTTACAATGCTATCAATTTTGGTTGAGGTGGCAATGACAAATTTCTGGTGTGTCCTTCATAGAGGAACTCAGTTGAGGATGAGAAGTCCAGTCACAAGTAATAAGCTACTACTCGCCAGCTGCTTCAGGAAAACCACCCTCTTGCCCTTGAGGCGTCTAGTGAGGGTGATCAGAATGGTCCTGGGAGTAATGCTGGCCCACAGTTTTCTCACCTGCTGACTGAAGGGCTTTTTGCCCTGGCTTAACAGCTTTCGAGGCACATCTTCATTAGGATAATACCTAGGCATTTTGCAAAGTTTAACCAGCTGGGTACCACCGTTCTTGTCACCACCAACTGGTTTTGTAACAGTTGCAAGAATCTTCTCCTTTTCCTTTTCAACCTTGGATTTAGTGGCTGAGTACTTCCTCTTGTACATGGCCTTTCTGGAATATGTGGCAGATTGGGAATACCTGCCAGTTCCTCTGACAAGGACAGGATTGTGGTTGCAATGGGGCTTCCCCTTCTTGGGGTTTTAGCCTTGAGGTTACCCTTTTTCACTTTGCTGCCAGTATCAGCCTTCTTGGCTTCAGGTTTCTTCTTTTTAGTATCTGGCTTCTCAACTTTTTCACCTGCCATCTTGCAAGATGGGAAAGAGCCAAAAATCTGGTTTTTTAGCACAAGGCAGTGGCAGCTTACAAAGGGCTCTCTCTGCCTGCCCTGCCAATTCAGAGAGACTGGCTTGCAGAGAAAACAAAGTAATTTCCTATTATCATTCTTGAGTGGAGAGGAATTGGTTGGGAACTATGATAGAAAACGTTAAAAGATTTAGGCCTAGAGCAGAATTATGCTAGCCTTGTAATTAAGGCAAATTTTTGGTGGAAGATATCAAATCTACTTGTTTTAAACTTTAAATCCATTTTTCAAAGAATTGAATCTAAAGAATAGAATGTACTGGAATAACTTTAGTGAAACTCTGAAATGTGGAATTTTAAGGTGCACCTCCTCAGTGACCTAACAATTTAGTTGGGGAAGATCGACATGTGACACAGACTACATTTGTTTAGAAGAGCAAACATCAACGTGGCCTAGACTAGTGAGGGGCAAGTTTGGAGGAGGTGGTGAGTTTGGAACTAACGTGGCAGGATGCAGGGGATTGGGAGAGTGGGTGAGGGAAGGTGATCCCAGGAGCCTAGAACACCTCTGCATATTTCATTCCCTTATTTTCTCTTCCTCATGAAGGCCCAGGGTTTTTCATGGACAGGAGGGTTTGGGGGCTGAAGTGACTAGTAGAATTGAATGTGCCAAACAGCCAAGATAAGCAGAATGGCAGCTCCTTTTATGGGGACTTGAAAGCCAGACAGAATTCAGAGATAGTTTGGTTTTCTTCACAGCATTTTAATGCTCTAAAATTAAAACTGCCTTTTAATAAATCATATGCTTAGTTATAATCCTGCTTCATGAGAAGAAAATGCTCATTCGTGAATACCATCTCTGGTTTATCATTTTGCCCTTTTCCAAAGCACCTGGAAAGTAGCCAGCTTCCCTGAAAGAAAATGGCAAAGTTTTGTAGCAGTTGTTACTAAACTAGAGGAAGTGCTTCTGTACAAGGGAGATTGTGCACAAGGGGAGCCTGGTAGCTGGGAACCTGAGTCCATTTCCTAGACATTTAATTCAGTAATTCTGCCTCCGAGGAGACCTGCAGTAAAACTGACCACAAAGCTAATAGAGTATTTAAGTTCTCCAGGTTTGGGCTTCTTAAAAGGATGTAATCTTATGTGACAACTTATTCTTATCTAGGGAGTAACAGACATCCAATCCACTGGTGACAGACAACCTGCCCCTTTCAGAATCTGGTCCCTCTTACTCCCTGATTCAGATCTTTAGCTCCATGCCCAAGTGCTATGAGACCATTCTGTGCCTTTAAGCAAATTATATGTCTAATATAATTCACATACCATAGAATTTATCCTCCTAAAATGTACAATTCAGTGCTTTTAAATATATTCACAGAGTAAAACAACCATCACCAGAACATTCGTAGTCCCAGCTATTTGTGAGGCAGAAGCAGGAGGATCACTTGAGCCCAGGAGGTTTAGGCTACAGTGAGCCATGATCATGCCACTGCACTCCAGCCTGGGCAACAGAGTGAGACCCTGTCTCAAAACAAAACAAAAACTCAACTTCTTGTTTATTGCATGTAATACTCCATATTTATGAGTAACTTCCCATTTTTATCATTTTATTTGTTCAGTATTCTAAGTCTTTTAAAGTAGTGGTTCCCAAAGGTTAGTCACAAAGTAATCTTCTAGGGTGCTTTATAAAAATGCTGATTCCTGGGCCTTACTCCTAGAGATTCTGGATCACTGGTGGAAGAGGCAGGTCTGGAAAGTGGGGCCTCCAAGATCTGTATTTTGTAAAGTTTTCCAGATGCCTCTGATGTACAGCTTGGTTTGTGAAACTATGTGATGCTGCATAGTGTGGCTGAAACTGGTTTCATTTAAGTGTCCCATCATTGCCAACTCCTGAATATGTCTACCATTTCTCTGAGAATTCCAACTGCTCAGAGATTTGCTTAAGAAGGGGAGGGGAGCCGGGAGTGGTGGCTCATGCCTGTAATCCAAGCACTTTGGAGGCTAAGGTGGGCGGATCACCTGATGTCGGGAGTTCAAGTTCAAGAAGCGGAGAGGACAGCCTCCATGTTTCCATGACATGTGACTGGACCAAGAATGGAGTCCTGAACCAGTCTAGGCCAGTACAATTTTCTCTCCCAGGAACTTGGAATTTAGACCAAGACTTGAAATCGGTCGCAAGTGGGCGCTAAGTGGAAAGATTTTTTAGAGCTGGGGAAGCCATTTTCCACCAAATATTCATTAATGGAGATTCTATCTTAAAAGAAAAGTAGAGAAAAGGAGACAGATGGGCAAAAAAAAAGTTGTTTTTTTCTACCCTACTGCAAATCCAAAATACTCCAAATTTAACACATTCCATATTCTCATTCCTCACCCAAAAGAACTGTTCTCTCATCGATTTCTTGATTCCTGGTATTGCAGCACTGTCAGATTCCCAATCACTGCCGTTCTTCTCTCACCCTCCTACTTTGATTAAGTGCTATTAGTTCTCTCTCCTTTTTGTTCCTCATTCCTCTGTGGGAGCCTTTTTTTTTTTTTCTTTTTGGCCACCATTTCTTACTTGGGCTAACCAACATTCCAGCTCTAGGCCTCTTTACTGACTTCTGGCACAAAATTTGATCAGACCATTCCAGCACCTTAAAAGTCATGGCTCTCTGTTTTTGAGGATTATGAAATTCAAAATCTTTAGCATAGCACAAAAAACCCTTTGTAAGATAGGATCCCAGCCAGACCCCTCTCCTGTCATGTCTTACTGCAAGTAGCCTCTTTTCACAGGGTGCCTCACACTTCTGCATATTTCATTCCTTTATTCCCTCTTCCTCATATGATCCTGTACTCTTTTAGGTACACCCCTTACTTCTAGTGCTTCAAAGCACAATTTGATTATCAACTCTTTTTAAAGTCATTGTATTAGTCCTTTTTCACACTGTTATAAAGACATACCCAAGACTGGGTAATTTATAAAGAAAAGAGGTTTAGTTAACTCACAGTTCCACACGGCTGGGCAGGTCTCAGGAAACTTACAATCATAGCGGAAGGGGAAGAGGCATGTCTTACATGGTGGCAGGCACAAGAGGGCAAACCAGTGAAGGGGAAAGAATCCATTATAAAACCATCAGATCTCATGAGAACTCATATCACAAGAACAGCATGGGGGAAACCACCCCCATGATCCAGTCACCTCCCACCAGGTCCCACCCTCCACAGGTGGGGATAATGGGGATTACAATTCAAGGTGAGATTTGGGTGGGGATGCAAAGCCAAACCATATCTGCCATCTCTGAATGTCTGGGC